GACGCGGAGAGGAAAATGCTTATCAGAGGACATTGTTTAGAGCAGTGTAGATAATATAGATTTGTATGTTTGTAGTCAGCGGAAGCTTGGAATGGCATCTAATCAGGAGTGTGGTTGGCAAGGGCGGGCGGGGTATAACTCACCAGAAACTCATCGCCTGAGCTGTACCTTCAAAAATATAGACAAAATGTATTCACGTGTTTTATTTGGATAGATATTGTGTGCTGTTGTAGGATAGTTAAGAGCGTGAACCACATCTTGCGAGGATTGTGGCTCAAGGGGCGGGAGGAAGGTAACTTACAGTGGATCGCGTTACTTCACAGAACTCTTCTTCAATCTTGTGAGATAAGCAAAGTAAACCTCAGAGGCTTTCTGGTTGGGTAGTTCGCCGTTGGATGATGAAGTGCGGTTGAAGGAGTGGCGACGAGGACTTGTTGATCAAGCAGCTGCTATTTGCTCGTATTTGCCGTGTAAACTCCCACGCCACCCTTTCCCCCGCCTACTCGGGTGTAACCTATGTGGACTGAAGGTAGTACGAAAGAGTACTTGTACACATAGGGTTTAAGACCCAGCAGCACGGACTCTGAGACACGGAAGATGGATGATTTGCGGTTGTAGGAAGATACGTATCCACGGGTATCATCCCATCCCATCTGTAGGACCACTAGTACTACAGGCGCAACGGATGTATGTAATCAAAAATCGCTACAAGACTACGGTCGGAGAGCCTCAATGGTCCTTAGAACTACGGGAGGGGCGAGGGAAGGCGCTCTTGATATGGTACCTATTCAGCTATACCGACCAGTGCTGGCCCAGTGATAATTCAAAGCGACGAAACGAATACCGTCTGCAAGAATATTCCCACTCCCGATATAAATCCAGGGCAGGGTGATAACCTGTGGTCACGTCTCAGCTTGGAACACCAGCGTTTGAGTCGGCGTTTGAGTCGGTAAGTCGTGTAGTCATGATAACGCAGTTTACAGATAGAGAACCTGAACCCATTAGAGCAAGAGCAACCCGGGGCGCAGAAGTGCCACAAAATAACCAGCTTCGAAGGTGGAGAGCGTCAGTCAGTACTTTACCGCGGTCAAATCCACCGCGTGAGCATGGATAGGGTTAATGATCGACTTCACCGCTGGGATGCTGCCAGTAGTATAGTTTCAGCAACTGACGCCCAGGTCAAGACCTGGAATGAGGATAAACGTACATGGTTTATAATCTTTTGACCACAGGCTGAGGGATGTCATAGATTCACCAACCTCGGGAAGCGAATTTCTTTCCGCCTGACGGTGCAAGAGCTTGCAACGCTGCCAATAGAGGTCCAGCTGTTGCATATAATTCAGCTCACGTAACGTCGTCATGCAATGCGGATGCTCTGGTGTCCATTAACGAGCACTGGATCAGCGTATACACTAATAATGCATATGTAGAGTGGAGTAGGCGTACAATCAGAGAAATATGGAAGATGCTCTATTGAATGACGCACCAAATTCACCGAGGAAATACAGTTTCTTCAGATAGACCCCTGCAGACGTCCAGAGGTGAGGAAAACTCATGGAGCCGTTCGGGAAATCCTAAACCGTAAGGGATGTAATATGGCGCGGTTTCTATCTGGACGTCTCGTCATTCCTGGGCTGGGCGACACATGGGGGATCAAGTATAGTGAGCAAAGAAAGTACTAAGATTACCCTCCGATGCGGTACTTACTTTGGCTCTTACACTGAACCTTTCCCTCCCTCCTAGTATTAAACAATCATCGAAGTTAGTCCGAGTTTGACTTGAACGTCCGCGGTGCTAACTTGAACCCTTCCTCACGCTACATAAAATTAAACGGTTACAGAGATTATTATACAAAGCGCCCTCATTCGGCGCAGCGGTTGTTCCTGCACCAGGACGCGTATATCAGCAGAGCAAAGGGGAGACGGACGCGCAAGTGAAGGGTGCGTTAGGTGGCTGTGCAGTGGGGTTCTTCTTGCGCAAATGTCGCGGCCGTACGCCTGCTCTTCCAGTATATCGCTTGCTGCTCCAAGATGATCGCCCGGGAGGTCTGTCTTACTCTTTCATGTGCCCCACAGAACACGTTTTGTTGTGCAGTACACTTACGGCCTCGCTGAAGAGGATGGCTCCACGTATTAACTCAGGATAAAGGGCCGCCGCACCGCAGACCATGGATGAAGTAACATCAGCGGTGCGGATATTGCAAGGTGCTTCTCAACGGGGCGCCCTCTGAACGGTGATGTTGATACAGACTGTTGCTGTACCTCCAACGATTGGCTCGCGCGCAGATGCCGAGACCCCCCTCGTACACGGTAGCACACTGCGCCTTCCTGCACACACGTAAGTTATATATATATATAAGTGCAAATCGTGACCTAAGCTAGCACAATCTCCCCTCCAGCTGCTAGTCCACCATGGCTCTCTTTGCCCCAGCCCCTCCTCCCAAGACCAAGCTCGGCCGCCTGAGGAACCTCTCCCCGCTCGCGTCCGTCACGGTCTCCCCGCTCTGCCTTGGCGGCATGAGCATCGGCGACAAGTGGGCCGAGTTTGGCTACGGCCAGATGGACAAGGACACCTCGTTTAAGCTCCTCGACACCTTCTTCGACGCCGGCGGGAACTTTATTGACACTGCGAATAATTAGTGAGTCTTCATGTCATGCGTACTGGCATACATACTTAATTCTTCATGATCAGTCAAGACGAGACGTACGAACAGTTCATCGGCGAGTGGGCTGAGGCGCGCGGGATCCGCGACCAAATTGTCATTGCGACAAAGTACTCAACCATGTATAAGCGCGCCCCCAATGAGAAAATCAAGCAACGTGCGCTCTACGGCGGGAACCACCTCAAGTCCCTCCACACCTCCGTGCACGAGTCGCTGCAGAAGCTCCGCACTTCCTACATTGACATCCTGTACGTTCATTTCTGGGACTACAACACCTCCGTCGAGGAGGTCATGAACGGGCTGCACAACCTCGTGACCCAGGGAAAGGTGCTGTACCTCGGCATCAGCGACGCGCCCGCGTGGGTCGTAAGCAAGGCGAACCAGTATGCTCGCGACCACGGCAAGACGCCGTTCGTTATCTACCAGGGCGCGTGGAACGTCATGCAACGTGACTTTGAGCGGGACATCATCCCCATGGCGCGCGCGGAGGGGCTCGCGCTCGCGCCGTGGAACGTTCTCGCAGGCGGGCACATTCGGACGGATGAGGAAGAAGAGCGGAGACGGCAGACGGGCGAGAAGGGGCGGACAACCTGGCGCGGTGACTGGGAGCGTAACGAGAAGGAGAAGACCGTGTGCAAGGCGCTCGAGAAGGTCGCCGCCGAGGTCGGCACCCAGCACATCCAGGCCGGTGAGGGTTTACTAAGTTCGCTTGCTGCAAGGGCGTGCGGCTGACGAGAAGCCTGAAGTGGCGATTGCGTACCTGCTGCAGAAGACGCCGTACGTGTTCCCGCTTATTGGGGGGCGCAAAGTCGAGCACCTCGAGGCGAATATTGAGGCGCTGAATATTGCTCTCACGCCCGAGCAGATCGCGTATATCGAGGGCGTCGTGCCCTTCGATCTCGGGTTCCCGCACAACATCATTGTGAGCTATTCCCCTCTTCTCTTTGCAGTATCATTCGATGTTAACATCTGGCTTTTCTTAGGGCACGGGTGCGACGAACATGCCCGCTATGATCATCGCCGGCCACTTCGACCGCGTCGCCATCCCGCAGGCTATCCGTCCCCAGACTCAGTGAGCGCCGAGGTGTTTGTTATGTACGACTGCGAGATATCTTATTGATGGCGCCTTTCTGCTTTGTTTTACGCGATGTGCTACTACATTGGGATAATGAATATTCATTGCATCATTATGTCGACTTGCCTCACCGACCATCAGGGCTGCGAAGCCTGCATCGCCTCCTGAGAAGAAGGAAGAGAAACCAGAGGATAAGAAGGACGGTGCTGCTGCTACTTCTGCGCCAAAGGAAGACACGACTGCGGCGAAGGAAGATTCAAAACCCGAGACGCAGACGAAGGAGGAACCAAAGTCAACAAAGGCAAAAGCAGAACCCACATCCACCGAGACGAAGGAGGACACGACCGCGCCGGGTGTAAAGCACGAGCAGACGCAATCATCAACTTCCTTGCGACCGTCAGACTCGCCCTCCGGGAAGAAGAGGTCGAGCGTGCTTTCGCGCGTGAGGAGGAGGGTGTCAGGCGTGTTTACAGGGAATGAGAAGAAGGGGAAGGACGGAAAGTGAGCGCGAGCGAGGAGGAAAGGCTTGTACTGGAAAACATTCTTGTTATTTTCTTTCCTCGTCGATCTCCCATATTTTGGACTTGCGGTACATACTCGCCCGGCCGTATAGCCGTAGATTATTTATACCCTGCTCGATTCGTCACATTCCTTTAAATTGGATTTTTCGTCACTCATTGGTGTCTTGTGTCTGCATTTGTGAACTTCTGCAATAAAAAGCCTGTGCGTCGTCGGATCCTTAGGGCTTTTAGGACGATTGTGGGGCACTACAATTATTCTTGGGTGCAGCTGGAGACTGCAGATCGGAATAATATTGGGTAGTTGGCTTTTGACCTGCTCCACTAGTTATATGGCACTTCACCAGCTCATTTATAGTACATCTGGACGAGCACGAGCTGTAATACATACCGTCTACATCCACGAGTGAAGGCGTCACCAAAGCTCATCAGCCCATGGAATGTGTGGCGTGGGAGTGAAGCAGGCCAAGCAAGGCCAATCATACGTGATCTCGCTTTCATCGACCAGTCACCCATTGTCGCCCTTCCAACCATAGAATACCTTCCTGACCTCTCAGTCTCTAAAGATTCTGCCGAACCTATCTACAAGCCTGCGCGACTACTTGCTTTCGTCAACAGCATACTGGTATTGTACAAAAGTTCGCGCTTTCCTGGGTTCTCCAGTCCTGACTACGGTGCCACCGCAGTCTCAAACCAACCACAACTACCAGTTGCAATATCAACCAGATCACTGCGACCAGCAAATATGGCATACAAGCAGACCTTGTCCCTTGATATCCTGCACGAGATCATTCAATACTACTTCGCCGATACCCCCTCTCGCCACACGTCGTCTCTCGCCGACGACGCGACGCGCCTCAAGCTGGTCTGCAAGGACTGGAATAGGATCGTCTCTAAGATACTCCAGAATCCAACCAAGACAGTCCCTCCGATCTCCAAGCTTCCGGTTGAGCTTCACCACAAGATTTTCTCTTACGTCTTGGCTCACAACCCCAACGACCAGTGGGTAGCAGACCGCGAGTGTACCGAGCTCATGTTGGTCTGTCGTAGCTGGCGCGACATCATTATGGATTGGAGCGCACGTTGGTGCAACGTCCAGCTGAAGAACCCCAATGCAGTGGCCCACGCCCTGAATCGCACCCGGGCAACCGAGCGTAGCGGAGGACTTCCGGTGCCACTGGACATCACGGGAAATTTGTATCGCGGCGTAGCTGGATATATGAGGATGGTGAGGCATATCAGAAAGCACATGGACCACATACGGCGAGTCGACATAAAGGTTTCCAGGAAAGCACTGCGCCAGTGGGTTGTGGCGAACCCGGTGAACCCTGACTTCCCGGCGCCAATCCTTGAGGAGCTCCAGCTGAAGAAGGTCGCTGACAACCTGGACGCGGTCCCTGATGCTAACGAGCATACCTTGCTTAGTATCTTCCGGTCACAGAGGCTGAGGGACCTCACGGTGCATAAATTCACCTATCGCGCCGCGCGGGCACTATTCCTTCCGACGGT